CCTAGAAATTGACAAGGCCAGTTATTCTATCCCCCTGGTTTCAATTCCATCAACCTCTCCACCCTCCTCAGGGACCCCTCTCAAAAATTGCTACTTCGTCAACAGATACACCATCTCCTTCACACAGGAGCCATAGAGAGTGTACCCAAACAATATCAGGGCAGAGGTTTTTACTCAAGCTACTTCCTTACAGAAAGACGGACAGGCAGTTGGAGGCCTACCCTTGACTTTCTTCACCTAAACAAATACCTCCGTAAACAACAATTCCAGATGGTCACGCTGGCGACAATCATCCCAGCACTGGACAAGGGAGACTGGTTTGCGGCCTTTGTCCTCCAAGATCCTTATTTTCATGTAACCATACACCCAGTACACAGATGCTTCTTCCACTTTATGGTAGCTTCAGGCCATTTCCAATACAGCATTCTTCATTTCGGCTTTGCATCTGCCCCCAGAGTTTTTTCCAAGACTCTGGCCGTAGCTGCAGCATACCTACGCCGCAAAGGTACCTTATTCAAGCCACAAGGGATATGCTGCTTTTCACAAAATGGGTTTTTGAATCCCTCGGCTTTATTATCAATGAACAGAAGTCTACTCTATGTCCCATCCAATCAATAGAATTTATAGGGGTTTGTCTCGATTTCACAACAGCATGACCATACCTGCCAAATCAGTGCTTTGATGCCATAAAATGTTTGATCTCAATCATGAGGTTGAGTCTAACTGTCTCAGTTCTAACCTGCCTTCGTTTCATGGGCCACATGGCCATTACCACATATGTGGTCCCACATGCATGCCTGCACTTCCACTGCCTTCAGCATTGGCTTGCCTTGGTGTACAAACCAGCCAAGCACCACATGCACAGACAAGTATCAGTTCCCCAGAGGATCCTATTGTCATTACATTAGTGGACCGATCCTCAGAATCTTCTGGCCAGTGTCCCATTTCACCAGGTGCAGCCATCCATCCATATTACCACCGATGCTTTGCTCCTCGGCTGGGGCGCTTACTGCAAGCATTATCGAGTTCAGGGCAAATGGTCTACCCACGAGACCACACTCCATATCAATCTTCTGGAGCCCTGTGTGGTCTGCACTGCCTGCAGACTTTTTCTCCATAATATCTGGGGTTCCATGGTACGTATCCTCATTGAAAATGTAACTACCATGTTTTACATCAACAGGCAGGGAGGCACCAGATCTTGATCTCTTTGTGCAGAAGCAGTGCATCTATGGAACTGGTGTATACACAACAACATCACCGTATCATACCTACCTGGAGTCAAGAATACTATTGCAGATACCCTCAGTAGCCAGTTTGCA